GAATCTGTTACTTTAGGTTCTAATTTTAATCCTGTTGATCTTTATTTTGCTTAAGCATTTCCAGTTTAAGCTATGCTTTCTTTATATTACAAATAAGATTAAAAACCCATTTTTCAAATGGAAAACAATCAATAAACATGCATACCATTTCAGATAAGGTATTACAAATGGGAGTGTACATTTACTATAAAGTAGTTGGCAGCATTCCTTTAAGGTGTATAATTGCAGATAAAATGTTCTCAACACTAAGTTTTGTTGCTACAAAAATATTTCCTTCATTGAGAAGTCGTGTTTACTATCAGTTTTTTGTAAGACTACAGTACATACTGTTTATTTGACAGACATTTCTTAAATCCTAAAAAGAAAGAAATGTGAAGTATTTTAATTTTAGATGCTGACTTGAATAGACTGCTGGATTCCTGTAGTATTTCCTCCACTGCATTTGTCAATTGTGGAAAAGGGCAAATGTTAGTCTGTTTTCTGTTTTGAATTCTACTAAATGAGCTTTTCAGATTGGGTAACCTAAAATCAAAGTGGAGTTCACTGTCTGAATTTGTGTGTCTAATTAACTTCAACGTTTGGGTAATATTTTTAAAATGTAGCTGCATACCAGAAGACCTGTTACAGAATGGAGAAAAAGAAATGTTCAGGCAAAGAGTGTATTCATTTGTCCCGTAAGATACTTCATTAAATTCGTCTAGTAATAGCTTTCCTTGAGAACGGACCCTATCTACTGAGGATTTCCAAAAAGGGGAGAAAGTACTTAGATTTACTTGTCTTACCAACAAAAGTTAAATGGATTATAACCCTTCAGAGTGCCTATTGCTGCCTCCAGCTGGCATTACAGAAGTATGTATTAACCGTTTTTGGGATTCTGCATAAAATGGGAGACTTGGAAATAGAGAAGGAAATGTATACCCTGCTTGTATTGTACATACTCTTCCACTACTTATGACAGTTGCAGTAAATAGTTATAACCCATTTAAATCGTCACTATGCAGAAACTTAAAAATAAATTTCAAGGTTTCAAAAGTGCTGACTCACTATTTCCAAAACACTGGTGTTTGTAATGAGGTGCCATTTTACAGATGCTTCCAAACAAGGAAGTCCTTTTGGTAGGATTAGACCTAGGAATTTCAGCTCAGTATTTGGATGCATGCCTCAGGAAAATTCAGTTCTAAATTCTGTTGCTTTACACTGTTTTTTTTTTTTTTAAATATACAACCTGTATTAAAACTTTGAAGTTGTCTGCTTTTATCATTTATTCAAGGGTCACACTTAATTTTGTGGGCCTCAATCTCATCAGATTTTTAAAACAATGGCTTTGTTCATTTTAAAAAAATTAATTTTTTAGCAACTTGTTGCAGTTAAATTGGTAATTAGCTACTTGTAAGAGTACATCTTTTTCTTGCTAATGTAAAATGTAAGCAATATTTGCATACTGCATCTAAATACATATACCACCTTATATTCAGTGGTTGTTCTAGTTAATCCTTTTTTACTATATTGGCATAGTAATGTTGGTCTTCTGTTTGTAATATTTTGTGAAAGCAGGCAGTGATATAATGCTTTTTTTCATTAGCGCAGGAATGGCTCATAACTCACAAGAGGCAGATCTTTGAGTGAGTCATTTAGGTCATTCCCATTTGTGTGGAAAATTATTACATCATTGCCCTGTACTCAGTGTTCTATTTATACCATGCCAATACTTTTAAGTACATTTTGCTTTTTTTAGATGCAGTAAACAGTATTTGGGGAGGTTGTCTTGAAGTGAAGTTATTACTAGGCCATAGAAGGAGCACTACTTAAATATTTACAGAGTTCAGGAGCCAGAGGAGCATGCTGTCTGCTAATTTGAGTTGGGAAGATGTGAGTAGTGGAAAGGATGGATATCTGCTTTCCTTGCACCATACATGCTATATTTTCTTAATCTTCTACCTCTATACTTTTAAATGCAGTTCTGGTTCATGCTGATGGTTTTTATATTCTTTGGTTTGTGTCAAAGCAATTAAGCGTCCAGGGTGGATTTAATTTAAATCACTAGTCAGGAAGACTCGATTTAATCATGGATTTCTTCATAAAAGTGCATTCTTATAGATTGTTATAACTTTAATACATATTCTTCACAACTCAGATGTAGGTTTCATTTTTAGAAGGTATACACTATACATTATTTAAGTGATTTATTTTGAAAACTTTTCAGATTAATTTTGCAGCTACACCTCTACCCCGATAACGGTATAATCAGGTTTGTTTAAAATTGTTTAACTAAAATATTTTTAAAAAAACAATCAATTGTCAGCCAGGTCAACGTGAGAAACTAAAATATTGGCTTCTGCAGCTAACTCAGTCGTCTTCATCTTCATTTTCCTGTTTGTTCATAATCTGGAAAAGAAAAACAAGCTTTTCTACTTTTTCAGGTCCCAAATAATTTCTCAATTTGGAATGAATTAGTCCAAAGGAAGAAAAATATTCTTTCTACACCGGCTGAAGAAGCTACTGCTGTTAAAAGTGAGATTATCACTTCAACAGTCTCTGAATCCAGTTGTGTGAATTTCTTTAAAACATAATCAGCAAACATATATTTCTTGAATGGTTCTTATTCCCAACTGGGTCTTTTACGGCCTGCTGTTATAGGTTTTCCCTTCTAGAGAGAGAATGGTATGGTAGATCTCAAATCAAAGAGGGCTACACTCAGAGACCTCAAGATTTCTGAAATATGCTGCTCAAAACAGTTTCGCTTTTGTTTCTGCCTGTCCCTCCCTTCTCACATTTATCTCCAGACTTCTTCTCCTTATCCAGATCTATTCCGCCCCCAACAATCTTCTATTCATTGAGCTTTTTGAAACTGTGCACTTTTAGAGAGGACAATAGGGTTGAGGTCTGTTATTTCTCACCCCTCTATATATTTATTTAAAAACATTTTTGCTGTTAAGCACGTTCTCTGGAGACACACATCCACAGTTTGAGAACTGCAAAACTAAACATCTCTGATGGTATCTTCTAGACTAGTCCCATTGGGTAGATAGAAAGATTAACCTAAATAATCTATACAGAAGCCCCTGGAACCCCATAAGATTGGGTCCCTAATCCATGAACAATTGGAACTAATTTACAAAACTTTTCTTAAACATTACATGAATATATTCTCATACTATAAAATTAGAACTTATAATCCCTATTCCATGATGAGATATCTTTGAGCTATAATGATAGGTTTTTTCCGCAAAGCATTTGATCAAAACTGATTTAAATAAATCCATTTTTTAATTTTTTTAAAAAAATCATTGATTTTTTATCCACCCTGTAAGTGTCAAGGTGCTGCATGGGTATGAATATAGTTAAGACAGACAGCTACCTATTGGGTTGAACAGCTAAATAGGCTTATGCTATGTTGGTAAGGGAGATATTTCACTAATTATTCAGTATTATCTAAAGATGTTTTTGTCTCAAGTTGATTAGCTTAATGAACTTCAGACATGCTCCTCATGGTCTTCATGAAGACAATGTTCCCTTTACAAAAAATTTTCCTATGAATTTTTGCAGTTGGGGCTATATCCATTATTCTTCACACATTTCTTCCAAAAGGTCTTTCTGAGGGAAGTTTATGCTTTATAACTTGGCAAACTATTACTACCTCAGAGTACCAATGTCTGTCTTGCTATTAGTTGCTTATGGTTATCACCATTCTATTTGAATCCTTACCTAATGACACAATTACATTTCCTTATGCTAGTCTTGCTAACAAGCCTGCTTTTGAGGGTCTGAGCACTGTTCATCAGGAGTAAAAATCAGACTCCAGTTTATACAATCAGATTTCCATAATGGAAATGTATCATGCACTCTAATTTATATTCTAGATAATACTTAGCACTGCCTCAGTGCAGGGGACTGAACGAGATGACCTGTAGAGTTCCCTTCCATTCCTACAGTTTGATTCTATTCAGATTTTTGCAGACATTCCCTTGACTTGGACATTAAAATTCTCCAGAAGGACACTGTTCTAGAATCTTTCCTCAGATTTAGTTATTTGCATCAGTGTTACTGCATTGTAGTTTTTTTCTAATTAAAAAAAAAAAAGAGAGAGAGAGAACTGAGCTACTTCCCAGCTCTTACTGGGTTATATCTAATTAATTTCTCCTTTTCTTATATGCTGGTGTTTTCAAATCTGGCTTGGTGATGATTAGTCCAGGAGGAGATTGGGACAGACAATGGAGTGGAGCAATAGGGTTGGGAAAAGCTGTCAGGAAGGGACAACCGCAATGTTCCTCAGACTGTTACCGTTTGCTCCCTAAACATGATGCGGGTATAGAAACCCAAAAGTGTATCTGAGGCAGACAGTCCAGTCACAGAACATGGGGTTAGCTCTTTCTTCTTAGTCTGAATTAACACTGATAACTTAAATCACATAAATAACATAACATAAATATTCACATACACCCACCCTGTGATGCTGCCAGATGTTAGATTAAGCAGGGTTAGACTGGGTCAGGATTTAGGTGGGAGAATACTAAGGAACATAATTGATGCTGCAAGAAGTGGTGGTGATGGTCTAGTTAGGTGACACACTTCCTTTCAAGTTAGTATTTAATCAATGCCTTAAAGTCCACAGGGAGCAATAGGCTCCTGTACAGCCGCCTTGAAACTAAGGTCTTAATTCCTTTTGGTCATTAAAGATCCCATGGCAGTCCGTAAGAGTAGGAAAGTTAATCCTGTGTATCCTGGTTAAATTCCTACATAGGTAATTACGTTCTCCCTACTTAAATCCTTCCGGCAGTTTCAGTTGTACTTTTTTATTTCCTGCCCCTCTCGTGTTTTGCAGAGTTAAATAGCTACTGCACACTATCCCAGAAGTGACTGTTCCAGTGGTGGATGACATGATCCCTAGTTATAGCGGATACCTCAGAGGGTTGCAGTCTGCATAGTGAGGCTTAATGTTTGCAAAATACTTTGAGGCAATGTGTTACAATAATGCAAATTATTACTTTTTATGAATTCAGGTGACCGGGTCATAGATGTAGGGTCAGAGTGGAGAACTTTCAGCAATGATAAAGCAACAAAAGACCCATCTCGAGTTGGAGACACCCAGAATCCTCTCTTGAGTGATGGCGATTTGACTACAATGATTGGCAAGGTAACATTTTAAAATACAAATGTTTAACATGTTTAATAAAATTTTATGTTAAGTACATATTTATATGGCAACAGGAAACCTATGCAGAGAATTGAATGCCATAAAAATAAAATGTTTGGTATAAACTGAATTCCTCACAATAACTACTTATGGTCCAGATTTGGCAGTCTCCCCATCTGTGTGTAGGGAGGGGGTAGTAAGAAGGAATACTTGACTAATCGAACCTTCTAGATAAGAAGTAAAGCTCATTGATAGTGTTGCAGGACTACTTACATTGCTTTTCCATTGCTGCTGCTAAGGAAAATGCAGTTACACAGCAGTCATTTTTCTATCCCTAAGGAATCATACGTAGATTTGGAATTGCAGAATTTTTCACATTTGGAATATACCAGAAAAGCCTGAAAATACTTTGGGGCATCAGTTAAAATTCTGTATTCAAAATAGGCTGTTTCATGAGAAATTTTGTATCAAATATAATCAAGATGAGAAGAAAGAGCATTCCTGATGTACAAACATGCAGTTATATCTAACTGTTCTTTTGGTATAACAATATATTAAAAATACAAATTTGGAATTCTTTCCTAGTTCCTGAATGTTTCAACAGTGTTTATTTGTAGTGTACATTATTTCTGATTGGCTTAATGTACCGTTATCCTGCTGCATTGTACATGTGTAGGATTGTAAAACTAGTCAGATGGAAATTTAGTACCAGTTTGAGAAAAGTGTGACCCATGTAAAAGTTTTTGTTTTGATACTGTAAACAGTCTTCCATACTTCATGCCCTGAAGTGCATTTTGCACTGTGAAATCCCATTTTATTCAGTGAAAGGTTTCCCACATAGATAGTGCTGGTTGGCCTTCTAACTAAAATCTGCGATCCATCTTCCTCCAGCACACTTAATACATTTCATGAGCTCCTAACTAGAACAATGAAAAAGTTTCAGTTCAAGATTGTTTTTTGAAAAATAAAACTTAACAATGTGATAGGTGAGCCTGTCTTCTTAGGAAAGGTGTTCCATACTAGGTTTAATTTGATTGACAGGCAATTGTGATTATCACTACCAAAGGAAATCTAACTTGCAATGATACAGTGAAAACTAAGAACTTCTGTAACTAAAGCTTGGTATTCCTTCTTTAGAGACTACAAAATCTGAGTCCAGTAGAGAAAGTTAATTATGGGCGCTTGTCACAGGAGAGGTGTCTTACAATGGTCAGATCAATGCTGTAGAATCAAGAGCACCTGGGATGAGGGGTGGTTGGTCCACCCCTTTCTCCTGTGTGGCTCATAATAGAAAATAATTGTGCACTGAGTCTGAAGTTTCCTCAATGTTTGAGTTGCAGCGGTTTCTCAAGTTCCCCAAAAGCCTGAAACCAGGAGGTAATCAAGTTTCTTCTTGCACATGAAGATAAATTTCTATTTTTATGATGATTTCTACCTTGTGGATAGAGAACACTTGTATTCTCTCTGGAGTGAGTTCTGCCTAAGCACCCAAAAATGTCTGAGCAAGTTAAGTTGTGTGCTACCCACAATGAATTATTTGAAGGTGTTAGCAAGGGAAGATTGCTGATCATTCAGAAAAATCTGAATTTTTCCATAATTTAAAGAATTGTTCTTTACTTTGGGAGCCATCTCATTTCAGTGTGAAAGGAGTTAATAGTGAAGGGGACTCATCACACAGACATATAGAAGCAAAAATTAATTGAATGGCCTGCAATAAAGTTTACTACAACAGCTGGTTTTCAGGCATTTGAAGGCAAGAAGAGGCAATAGATGCAATGTTTTGAATTTGTGTAACTAAATCACTGTTCTTCCCTGACATTCTGTAGTATCTGTGCACATTGCAATATATCACTCCCATCGAAGGTGGAAAACTCACTGCTTCTTGAAATGTTCCAAATAAGTATTCTCCTGTTATGCATCCAGGCACAACTCTAATAAAGAGCAAGGGGCTTCCAAGAGAGCCATCTGACATAAGCTGTGTGGCACCAGAGATATTGGTTAACTCAAGACGAATTACAATGTAATCATTTTTCCTTCCTTTAGAAGGCGGCAGTTCTTGGGCATCTTCAGCCATGTTGTTAATCAGACATGCATTGTTTGACAAAGGTGCTGTTTTCAATTTGGTGTTCCCTTCAAGTCCTTTAACTTTTGAAACCATCTGTATTGGGCAGGAATAAGATTTTTCACAATGGCAAGCACCTTATGCTTATGTAAATTGTAGAGACCTGGGGGCGGAAATGCATACAGGGAGTATGCATTGACATTGCCAAGTTGAGTAATTTTTTCTTAAATTTTTCTCAATTTTTCTTGGTGTGAGGGTTGGAATCCTTAGTGTGTTTTTTGTTTGTTTGTTTCAGGCATAGATGTTTGGTTTCTGAATATGGCAACAACATGAAGTATTTTATGTTCTAAGCAAGCAGCATACCACAGATTGGTTTTGGATCAATCATTATGAATTGATTCAGCATTTGACTTTGTATTTCCACCTTTTCGTGTGAGCCATCATTGGAACAACTTGTCACCGTCCTAATCATAAAACTTCATCTTTCCAATCTACCATTCAGCCAAAAATGAGCTGCAGCACAGACCGAATGACACTCAAGCATTAGTTGTGTGAGGTTTAGCACTGCCCTTGGGATTTAGCAATTGTAATGGGTGCATCCAGTGTTCCAGTTAAGCAATATGGCTTGTGCTCATTGTACACAATAGTATAATGGAGGTTTTGTGTAAGGTATCTAGGCATGCTTAAAGGCCTAGGTTTAATGCTTTATTCGCAGAAGCGCTAGCAAATTGTGCTAGTCTACAATGAACCAGTGGGGATGTCGAACTTCAACAGTAAGGTTGTTTAAAGGGACAAATTACCTGTTATGTATCCGTATTTTCTTTTAGATTGAAACTTTTTTGCAAGGTCTCCCGCTAACCCTTCTCCCAAATCTTCTGATTTTCCTAGGAATTGAGATTCATGGTAGTATAGATATTACACGCGCAGTTTGGAAGGCTGTTTGATTTTGAGATTTTCACTTGTGTATTTATGTAATTGTTCCAACTAAAAGTCTTGAAATAGAATTTTATAAACCTGGAAAATTACTTCTTGAAATATATTAAGTATGGAATCAAATTCAAGTTTTTTAACAATAAAATTATACTTTTTCAGGGCACAGGTGCAGCAAGTTTCGATGAATTTGGAAATTCAAAGTACCAGAATCGCAGGACTATGAGCAGCTCTGATCGAGCAATGATGAATGCTTTTAGAGAAATTACTAACATGGCAGACAGAATCAACCTTCCCAGAAATATAGTTGTAAGTTCATGTCTACCTTCCTTAAATTGTTCTGGCATTGACTTAGTTAGCATAATATAATGAGCGCATGAATTTTTGATATTGCTGCTAATTAAATGGCCTAGAGTTAATTAAATTTAGTCTTCTTGCTTTAAAGGATCGAACAAATAATTTATTCAAGCAAGTGTATGAGCAGAAGAGCCTGAAGGGGAGAAGTAATGATGCCATTGCTTCTGCTTGTCTCTATATAGCCTGTAGACAAGAAGGTGTTCCTAGAACATTTAAAGGTAAGTTTTCAGTTGTACAGATTAAAGATATTTATTTTTATTTGATAAGTTTAGCTAGTATTATAGCAGTATGTTGGTAGTATCCAGAAATGGGGCTAAAGTGAATGTTAATTTCAGCAACAGGCTACATTTGATTTGACTAATTTAACTACTTGAATAGTACTTCTAATTAGGATTTTCCTATATGCAGCCCATTACTTCAAATGGACTATTGGGCTTAGCTATCTTGGAAGTTAATTGTATTAAGGATATTCCTGAGTTACTATTTAAGATTATTCAGAATGACATTTGAATACCAATAGTAGTATCTAAAAGGTGTTGCCTGATGATCGGAGCATTGCAGGGATTGTTCCATCTAAATTTCAACCAACAGCACCATGATTGAGTGGAACACATTTTTTGTGCATCACATTTTCCTCTCATAAGATAGTCAAACTCAATGGGCATTTGCAGAACTGTTAGCAGTGGATTTGCATGATTTGAAAATTGCCTAATTTAACATTAATACTTCTACCACATTGTAAAATTATTCTTAACTGTTTATGGTGGTGGCCTGCTTTTGTGACAATTCTTTTATAGAGAGGGGCTGAAAAATACAACATATGGAGAAATTTACTTGCTTAAATTGTAAAACAGACATAGCTAAGCCTACATTTTAATTCTTTCTTTGTTTAGAAATATGTGCAGTGTCCAGGATTTCAAAAAAAGAAATAGGTCGGTGTTTTAAGCTTATTTTGAAGGCTCTTGAAACCAGTGTGGATTTGATCACAACTGGTGATTTCATGTCAAGATTTTGTTCAAATCTGGGTCTTCCTAAACAAGTACAGATGGCAGCGACACACATAGCACGTAAAGCTGTGGAATTAGACTTGGTTCCTGGGAGGAGTCCGATCTCTGTAGCAGCTGCAGCTATTTATATGGCATCACAAGCCTCCGCAGAGAAAAGGACCCAGAAAGGTAAATCTTCACAATCCATCTTTCCTACATATTTCCTGTTGAAATAATGGATAAACTTAGTTTAAGGCAAAAAAGAAAGTCTTTCACTGAAGTCTACAAGAGCTTCATAAGCCACCAGTTCATGGGTGGACAATGAGACCACAACAACTGGCATTTTTCTCATGAAGCTTGAAATGTAAAAAAGTTAAGCACCGTTTAGCTGTGTTCCACAAATTGACTTCCAGTTTGTGGTTTAGTAATTGGACTGTTTAAATTATGCTAGTTTGAGTATACAGCCACTGTGTTTGCCCAACCAAGCATTTGTACACTTACAGCCTGCTTTTCTGAAATATTCAGAATGTAAACGTGGTGGTGGTTATATCCCTATTGTAATTATAAACCACTCTGGCAGCTGGGATAGGCTGGAGATTATGTCTTGGCTATGCCATTTTCCTCCCACCCCAAATCATCTGTGTTCAGAACTGCAAGGGAAGATGGCTCTCGGCTAAAATGGTTTTGCACAAAGCAGTCTAATAAAGTAGCCTTAATGGAACCAGAATCTGGTCTTTGGTATTCACTGTTACCTGTGAATAGGGCACAGTGAAGTTGTAAGAAAGGACAGCTGCCTTGGGATTGTGAAATTTTTGATTTATGAATATTCCCAATTTACAATTAACCTGATAAAACTGGAGTTGGGAGTGCTAATGGGTTGTGGAATCTTCTAATTCAGAACTATGAAGGACTGACAGTTAAAATGGAAATGAGGAGTTGGTCTGAGGCTAGTTCCTAGTGGACAAGAGCTTCTCTTGGGTAAAGAAATCTGTCTTTCTCTCTGACCTTCTGTTGCCTCCAACAGCTGTAACCTTGGCTTTGTCCTTTCCCCAGAACTATTCATCCCACCCCTCATGTCTACAAATCTTTCATCAGCTCTGCAATATTTCCTGTATCTACCACTGCCTACACTTCAGCTCCTTGCTGTGCCTTTGTCTCTCACAACTCTTGTGTGGTCTTCAGACTCTAGAATGCAGCTTGCCTATCTTTCACATACACAAGTAGAAATGACATTCCTCTGCACTCCATGATCTTCAAACAATTCCACAGGCCTTCATTCACTTCATGATCAAGTTCAAAATTACCATACATGAACTAGTTCCTGCATACCTCAAACTGTTTCCTTCCCTTACTTCCTCTGCTTGTCCTAACACTAGCTGCTTCTATAATTTCCTCTGTTGGGGAGTGATTTCTCCCATCTCTTCATTTAGATTCATTGCAGATCTTAGCCCCCAAAAAAGTATTTTCTTCCTTACCTTTACCTCTAGTTGCTTCTGGTATTTTTAACTCTAATCGTGGTTCTGATTAAATGCAGAACTCAGGAACTTGATAACAAAATGGCTTATAAAATGGTGTTTGAGTAAACAAAGCAAGAGAAAATGGTTAATCCATGCTTAATTTGCTTCTATTCCTTTCCCTAGAAATAGGAGATATTGCTGGTGTTGCTGATGTTACAATCCGACAATCTTATAGACTTATCTATCCACGAGCTCCAGATCTCTTCCCAGCAGACTTCAAATTTGACACCCCTGTGGACAAACTACCGCAGCTGTAAAATTGCTAAGGTTACATTTAATTTCTAAAGAACATTTGATTTTTGCCTATAATAAAGGATGTGTATATATATAAAGTGTTGCTACTGAGCCTTCATATTGTGGAACTGAAGGAGGATATGAAAATCAAACTGCTGGAACACAGCACACATTCCAAGGGTAAACAAAATAATTGTGTGGCATTTTGTATGTATATATTAGTGGAAGTAAATATTTAATGACTGTTGGAACAAGTTAAATTTCATATTATACTTTAGATTTCTTTTGTAGGGAATCTAGTAAAATGTATTTTGGAAAACAATTGAAATTATGTAATTCCCAAATAAACTTTTCCAAAACTTTTACTGGCTTGCATATTTCACTAGAATGTGATGTAGTTGGAGTAGTATAAGATTGAACATAATCTGGCAGATCTTAATACTAAAATGGGTCCTATCAAGGATTCTTTCACACTCACTTTCTTGGCAATTTTTAATCTCTAGTGTAGTTTTAATATTTGTAGTTAGCTGCAATTTACAGTATGGTAGATTAACCCACAGTGCAAACAGTTGCCCAAAAGCAGCTTGAATATTTGCACAACTGCTGCTGAAGGTTTCTAAACTTGTTATGAAAAGATTAGTCATTGTTGGCACAGCCTCCTTGATTCTCATTGAGGTCTCACCCTCTTTCTGTGAATTTCACTTAACTCTGAAGCAACTAAAAAACACAGACTGACTTATTTGAATTCTTGGGAACTTTGACATCTGGTATTCTACAAAAGATGATCAAGTATGTCAAATACTGATACTGTCCTGTCACTTTAATCTATATTAATAGCTAAGCTTTTAGCACTGATGCATTCTAAATTAGCACTTAGTATTTGAAATGATAGTCCAGGTGCTGAGGAGTTAAGTCAGAAGTTGTCTCCCCTCCCCCAAACTAATTGCTTCCAAAACTGGATGTCTATTGACAGTGTCCCTTTGTGTTCAAAGCAACAAATGTACTTCTGGTTTCTGAACAAAATTTGCATCACAGGTGCAAGACTTACTTAATTATCAAAATGAACAGCTGAGGGGGTCAGGCTGCTACACATCTGGTCCTAATCCATCCAAGGGAGGGCTTTGTGCCCAGTGCTAACATTACTAATTGTCAATAGTGCTGACTGTTTTCTTGCTGCTTCAGTTTTAATCCCTTTCTCTCACTGAAGACTATTGAAATATGGCAGCTCTAAGTTTTGTTTTTAGGCCATTGAAGTCCTAACTACATGTGATCATTAAAGTTCCCATTACATAGGAGTAAAAGGTGGTATCCCCCATATCTCCACCCAGTTACTCCAGATAAGCTGTATTCAAGCTTCATAAATTTTCCCTTGATTGTCAATAGGCTATGCTATTCTTGCCCTAGACTATTGGTGTGTACTGTTAGTTCCATTGCCTGTGAGGTAAAACATGGGCTTTCTATGTACTGAATAGTTAAGGTTCTTAACAGGTTGACTTGTGTTGTGCACTGTGTGCTAAGGTAACCTTAAAATGTATTGGGCTTGAGCTGAAATAGATGTACACTAACTTATTTTAAGAGTTAATTTTTAAAAACTTTGAGGGGACATATAGTACTTTCAGCTTGAAAATGTAAGGTCACCTTCAAAGGTAATCCAGAGAACTTTAGCTTCAGACCTAAAGCAGCATTTTACATAAAATTTGGGAATGAGGGAGATGTCATCCTGCCTGCCCCTCCAGCACAGAGAGAGTGTGGTAAACTGTTGAAGACCAGAGAGAAGAAAAGTAGGAGCCTGCTTTGAAGATTGCTGTAGTGGCAGTGAAGCAACCCTCTAAAGGCACAAAAATCCTAGAACTATAGAGCAGTTTGAAGGGGACTGAGGTAAGGTAGAAGCATGGGAGGCTTGTAGTAAAGTGTATTATTCCTCATCTCTACAAGGCAGAATTGATCTGAAGGCTTAATGTGAATGTTGCTCTTGAATAAATATACCTGAAGCAAAGTGGTTCAGTTAACCTAAAAAGCAATAGTACAAAGTTAACCTATTGTGTGTTCCCATTTAGCTAAAAAGCTAGTGCCAAGATGTAAAACTTCCCCTTAGCCCTGTCATACACAGCAAAAGCACATTTTGGGGAGGGGGGGGGAATGTTTCAGACAATAGCCTTTTACTAGTCTGAAACAGAGTAAAGGTAATGCTTAGTTATATCACTCATTTCCTCAATGTTTAATGATTTTCTAGCCTGCCAGAGGCTAGAATAGAGGTGCTATAGAAAAGATTTTCTGAAAGTAAAAGGTACTTAACATACAGAAGATAGCAACACTGGTAACTGGATGGGAAGTTTGACAGGTTCCTTCCCTCTTATAGGCAGGGTGCTGCCTTTAGAAGAGCTGTCCAGGGGAACCCCTTTAGGAGAAAGATCATGCAAGGGTCTAACAATTCTTACAAACCATTTGAGGTTGAAGCTAGTCAATTGCTGAAGGAAAGGAATATAGTGCTTTTATTTAATCTGTCAACCTCATCTGTGGTGGGGGAGAGGGCCATCTCTCCCCACCCACCTCACATGTGTCTTCTCCAGGGTCCAGGCATCTGATTAGTGGAGCCCCACCTGCACAGCTCCACTAATGAGGTGGGTGGCCCTTCTCTCATATGCTGCCACCCTGACAGAACTATCCACAGACCACTGGTGATCTGCAGACTAAGAGCCTCTGGTTTAGACTATTTTAAAAAAAAAAAGCCTTGGCCTAAAAGCTTAGCCTCTTCTGAATGGTGGTACCCTAATAATTCAGAATACATGCTTTTGCTGGTCAGTGTATATGTAGTTACAATTACACCATTTTTTCTATACCACTTGTAGGAAATCTAGTGGTAGAGCACCACATGGCTTCTGTAACATTAACCTTACAATTTCTTGTGGAAGTATGACATGCTACACTGAAATCAACTGTCTTCACTTAATTCACTTTCTGGACTGAGTGATAAAGAATGGTCCTGATGTTTTATGGGTGGTGGTAAATTTTTTTTAAATATGTAAAGGAACATAAGATCTCCTACTCTGGTCCCTTGGGCTGCTCTCTGGAAAGGAGAGTGGCTTTTTAGGTTCAGCACATAACCCGTGTTCAGAATACTCATAGTCCAGCCTTGAGGCACCTGTTTGGGAAAGAATGAAATAGTACAGCACATGATGCATGCTCTCTATCAGCCCAATTAGTGAAGGGGCAGGGTTCCTGTACCACACCACCAATGACCTGGACATTTAGATTTAAAGTAGCTTTTAGACACCTATAGCAGCACATGAGCAATGCCTACTGCCTTCATACTAATTAAAATGTAAGTGAAAAGTTGCTACAACTTCTTAAAATGAACAATGGTAAAGTTTGGCTTTGCTTAGTCAAGAATCAACCATGTTCCTATTAATTTAAAAACAAAATATTTAAAGACCATTGTCCCTGTTAACAGTAGGCTATTATAAAGGGTGCTCTTCCAGAGATGGTCATATTAGCCTCCCTAAGACTGTACCAGTGTAAAGTAAGCAGCAGTTAGTAATAAAAGTTAAATATTCAGAAAGATATTTGTGGGGGAAAAAAAGTGAAATATGTAAGTCACTACTCAGTCAACCAGTAAAATCATATTTGGGACACAAGTTACAAACTATTTAAACTTTAATTTGTGATATTAATGACTGCAAAACACTTAAAATGACATTGTTAAAGGCACATTTCATTTTAATGCATAGTGTACCATTCTAAAATATCCTAATTTCCTTACAAAGTGCTTGAGCAGCCACATACAGATAAAGTATAGCAAAATATATTTACAATCTAGTTTAAAATCTTAATCTGCCTAAAAATAATTTTAAAAAACTACAGAGATAAAATTAGTGCTTTCTTTCAGCTTAACTGTGTGAACATACCCTGCCCTAATTTTTTTTTAGTGATTTACTTAACAGAAAAATAATTCTGTACAAGATGTAGTTACAAAAAGGTATTTCCCAGGGTGCTTTTTAAAAATCTAAGCATCCTCTTTTAGACACTTTTCTATATATATATTTGGGAGCCCAAAAGGGTAAACAGACTGTACCTCAAAAGTGTTTAGTGTTAAATTTAAAGTTGTTTCTTTCCCACCTCAAAGATAATCAGCATCTTGAAACAAATTATATTGTTCCCACTTTAAGACCTTCATTTAATAAACCAAAAACATAATTTCTATATTCTGTCCTGTTGCCATTCTTCCTTTTTGCCTAAAAGGCAGTTGTCTTGTACATTATTCAGGTTTATCAACCCATTTTCTCCCACAGGCCTCTTGGTTCAGGACTTCTGATTTGTAGTGTTCTAACCAACAGTCATTTACTTACAAAAGGTTCACTTTTCAAACATAACACCTTGGAGTTTCACTACTCCATTCTTTGAAGATCAACATGGTTTGTGTTTCTTATATATTTTATTTGGAATATTTAATTCCACAATCTGCACTCATTTGACTTTGGATTCTTAGTCTTTGCTCTCCAGAGACCAGGATGAACCTACAAGAAGTAAGCACAGGATCAAATATAAATGTTATTAGTGAGTTAAGGAAAACACTGGAAACTTGTTTTCCAAGAGTGGCTGTTTACCTACAGAACACTGACAGCCAAAAATAGGTCTATGACGGAGTTTAAAAGCGCACACAGTATCCGGTCTAAACTGACTTTTGAGGTACAGTTTTTAGTGTTGAGGTTTATAAAATATACACTTATCAAAAATATTTATACATTCTGTTACAGCATATTGCTTTTACCCTCAGTAATTGCCAATCTAAGTTCTGGAATTCAGTGGCCCAAAATGTATACAAATGTTAGGCTATTAAATCAGAGTTCTATGATGTGTTCACATGGCCACTGTGCAAAATTCATGAAGTGGTACAATTAAATTACATGCCTGCAATTATGAATGCATTACAACTTCCAAATATACATGTTCACACCATGTATACCTTGAAAATCTGTTTTTTAAAGATATGATATATAGTAGACAAGATGAACTAGATAGCCAAGTATGGTATGATTAACTTAAAATTTGTCCAATTAGTGGAAAAAGGCTTGGATTTCAAGACTACAGAAGTGGATGGACTTGGGAACACATACACTATTGATAAGACTGAACAGACATTCTTACTACATTCTTCATCTCTACTGAGTCTTTTTCCCTCCCTTCCTTTTTAAAGCCATGCTTAAAGGCAAAAACTGTTTGGCAAGTGGCTTTGGTAAACTTTCAGGACCTATCTGTTTTCTTTTTATGGAAGCACTTTTACTGTTCTCACAAAGGCAAGGCATTTTACACATTTTTTTCTAATAAATACCATAGAAAATTTACAAAACAAGGCATCAGTTCTTAA